AAGTCAGAACTCTAGCTTCAAGTGGCACGGGGCTGGGACTGCAAGCAGAGGGTGCTCGTCAAACAGCAGCATCCCAGCTCTAGTGCCTGAACATCCCAGGGCGCAGAGGGTGCTCGTCAAACAGCAGCATCCCAGCTCTAGTGCCTAAACATCCCAGGGCGCAGAGGGTGCTCGTCAAACAGCAGCATCCTAGCTCTAGTGCCTAAACATCCCAGGGCGCAGAGGGTGCTTGTCAAACAGCAGCATCCTAGCTCTAGTGCCTAAACATCCCAGGGCAAGGGCAGTTCCTCACCTTGTGCTAGATGCTGATCTCCCAAGCACCTCTGAAAAAAGAACCACTTCCTCTTCCTGTTACTAAGATATAGATTATATTCCTTACCTATAATAAACAGAATTCCAAAACACAATTTCCTGGAGAAGTAAGGGAAAAAAACTGGAATACTCTGAAGCAGTAAAGTCCACATTATTTTGGTTTATTGATAAAATCAGCTCTGCTCTGCACATTGGGAATTAATCCTGAAAATACATTTAATGGTAGCTCCCTAGTATAGCATCATGATTTTGGAACAAGAAAATAACTTTAATTCTTGAGAATGCTGTAACTGATATAGCAAAAGTCCCAGGGTTACTAGCGAGTGTAGCCTCAAGTGCCAATCAAAAGTGGTATGCTAATAAGCAGTTCATAAAATTCTCAATTATAAAAGCAAAACAACAACACTTATGTTGTCAAACCCATGCCATTACTATGAAGAGCAAATAAAACAATAAAGACCAAATCAAATCAAAGTGTTATAAACTGTAAGGTGTTTCAAAATTGTTTGAACCTATTAAATTCAAATTTTCCTCCGTGGCTGGGCACAGTGGCTCTTGCCTGTGATTCCTGTGCTTTGGGGGCTAAGGCGGGAGGTCTGCTTGAAGCCAGGAGTTCAAGAACATCCTGGGCAATACAGTGAGACCCCCTATCTACAAAAAATACAAATTAAAAAATTAGCCAGGAGTGGTAGCCCTGCATCTATAGTCCTCACTACTCAAGATGCTGAGGTGGGAGGATCACTTGAGCCCACAAGTTCAAGGTTATAGTGAGCTATGATCGAGGCACTGCACTACAGCCTGAATGACAAAGTGAAACCTTGTCGCAAAAAATAATAATAATAATTAATAAACTAAATGTCCCTCCAAATTCAGAAGAGAACATAATTAAACACCTGGCCAAAAAAACCTTAAGTTGTTATTATCATTATCTTCACTTTATAGATGAGGAAAGGGAGGCTTAAAGAAGTAATTCCTAGATGGTCACGGTGGCTCACGCCTGTAATCCCAGCACTTTGGGAGGCCGAGGAGGGCGGATCACCTGAGGTTGGGGGTTCGAGACCAGCCTGACCAACAGGGAGAAACCCCATCTCTACTAAAAACACAAAATTAGCCGGGCGTGGTGGTGCATGCCTGTAATCCCAGCTACTCGGGAGCCTGAGGCAGGAGAATCACTTGAACCCGGGAGGCAGAGTCTGCAGTGAGCCAAGATTGCGCCATTGCACTCCAGCCTGGGCAACAAGAGCAAAACTCTGTCACACACACACACACACACACACACAAAGAAGTAAAGTAACTCCTCTAAGGTCACACAACTAGTAAAGGTAGAGGGCTGGGTTTCAAGCCTGTGTCTGACTCCAAAACCAACCTTTTAACCACTGTATCACTAAATCCAGACCACCTCTGTGAAAGTCATCAGATTAAAAGAGACGGTTACAAAACGGGAGCAATTTCATATATACTGTACCTTGCGAACACCAGAGGGCCTCATCCCATGTACCCCGAATAGGGAAAAAAAACCAGGTCTTTTCACATGTAACTATTTTCCTTAAAGGATTTTTAAAACTGTTCAAACTCCAGGCTAGGCACAGTGGCTCACGCCTGTAATCCCAGCACTTTGGGAGGCAGAGGAAGGAGGACTGCTTGAGCTCAGGAGTCCTAGACCAGCCTAGGCAACACAGTGAGACTCTGTCTCTGCAAAAAAATTTTAAAAATTAGCCAGGTGTGATGGCACATGCCTGTAAGTCCTGACTACTCAGGAGGCTGAGGCAGGAGAAGCGTTTGATCCCAGGAGTTCCAGGTTGCAATGAGCTATTAATATAATCGTGCCACTGCACTCCAGCTTGGGTGACAGAGTAAGATTCTATCTCTAAAAATAAAAATGAAAGAAAAACTCCATGATCCATGTTCTTTTTTCATACATACTTAATTTAGTAATCTGAGTGTTAGATCAAAGTCTAGGATAGTTGCAGAAAAGAAGATGAAATCAGCTAAGAGCAAATTATAGAAATACATGAAAACTTTCAAAGAGCTGGTATAAACTGCCTTTTACTGGGCTCTAACACTGGCAAGTTGCGTTGGAAAAGGTGACCCTTGCCAAGTGTCACCAGAGTAATTTTTTAAGTAATGCTAATAAATAGACATATTACATTCTTAAAATCATCCCAAATTCAGAAGTAAGCTTTCACTCTTTTATCTTTTATGATGAGATGGTTCCATGTGAGCAGTTTCCCTGGTAACTTACAGAAATAATCACTGAGACTCAGCTACTCCTGCAATGGCTAAAAACTAAACACCATTCGTGAATGACAACAAATACAATCTATTCTCCATGGTACAAGAAACCAATCACAAGCCCGTCTGGGTGAGACCTGGCTAATAAGAACATTACTTGAGAGGGGTACAAAGAGAAGCATGGATTGCCAAGGGGGAAAAGTCATTTATTAGACTGTGACAAGCTTTTAAATGTTTGCATTATCATTAGCCAACTGTCTGGTTCTCCGGTTTGCACACCTGCCGCCTCCACCCAAAGCTACTACAGTAGCAAACCCGGAAGTATGCCTGACCTCTAGAACACTGGCGCCCTCTTCTGACCCTTCCGCTGTACTGCATGCACTCAAGCTACTGAAACAAAAAACTATTAATAAAGCTATTACATTTTAAAATAAAGAGTGTAATTGGATTGTTCGTAACTCAAAGGACACACGCTTGAGGGGATGGATACCCCCATTCTCCATCATTTACTTTCACACTGCATGCCTGTATTAAATATCTCACATACCCCATAAATATATACACCTACTATGTACCCACAAAAAATTTTAAAAATAAAGCTATAAATGAATAACTTTGCAGGTAACATTATCTAGATGATTTCATATTTATAATTCCCTGAATAAACCTAAGTTTAACTTAATAAAAGAAAAGGAAGATCATCTAAATACTATGTTCTCTTAACATCTCAACAGTATATGTATTAGTTGATTTTATTATAAGAATTATAAAATGATAACAATGACGAATGTACAAAGACTTTACTATGTGCCGAACACTGGCAGTAAATAAACGAGTTTAATTCTAATAACAAACTTATGAGTTAAGTACTACTATTCTCTTCATCTTACAGATGTGAAAAGTGAAGTGTAATGAAGTTCAATACATTCCCAGGATCACGCAATTCGCAGTAAGTAGTAAAGATGAAGTCCAAACTCAGTAAACATGACTCTACAGCCAAAGCCTCAGCCACTACCGCATCTCATGATTTTATACCCAAAATAGCTCTGTGACGTAGAATGGAGCTGATATCACAACAAAATGAAACATAATTAAAATAGAAAAAGTGTAAGTTAATAAGAAAAATGACAAATACGTCAGCTAAAATCTCCCATTTTTAACAAAGCCCCAAATTGTACAGATAAAAATATTGTAAGAAACAGTTTAGGTTCCTTCTTCCTTCTTCCTTACTCTTGTCTTCTAGGACTATGATGTTTTTATTCTTCCTTTTCTTCCTCATTCTTTTTTCCATCAAATTACGTTCTTAATTTTCTTTAAAGAAGAAAAACTAATCTACATCATATGCTTTATGTTTCTTATATAAAGCAAAACTACTTATCTACTGTTAAATTATCTATTTCACTGCGACCTTTAAAAAATATTTATATTAAGACAGTAAATCCACATGGCATCATCAACTCTTCCTCTTTGATCATTGAAAATAAAATAGGTAAGAATTGATCTGGGATTATTTAGCAATACATTAAATATCTATCTGAAGTCATATACCTATCTGAAGATGGTCAATACCTAACTGAAGTCATAGCCAATAGTCTAGATAATCATCTAAGATTTCTAAAAACACTGCCTGGGCATGGTGGCTCATGCCTGTAATCCTAGCACTCTGGGAGGCCGAGGTGGGTAGATCAAGAGGTCAGGAGTTCAAGACCAGCCTGACCAATATGGTGAAACCACGTCTCTACTAAAAATACAAAAATTAGCCAGGCATGGTGACATGCGCCTGTAATCCCAGCTACTCAGGAGGCTAAGGCAGGAGAATCACTTGAACCCAGGAGGCAAAGGTAGCGATGAGCCCAGATCACGCCACTGCACTCCAGCCTGGGCGACAGAGCGAGACTCCATCTCAAAAAAAAAAAAGAAAAAGTTTCTAAAAACACTAACTTTAATTTCAAACAGGATATGAAGACACATTGTCTAATAATCTGTGGTTTAAAATTAGACTATCTAGAACTTTAACAGATTCCAGTTTCCTATAAACAGTTATTCATAATATCACAACTTAAAAACACTTAAATGTACTCCAAATACAGTGTAACCAAGCTCACTGTCATTCATGACTAGAAAATTCACCAGGGATTGAACTGAAGCTTTTAAATCAATGATTCCTCTTTAACAATTATCCTTTTATTTTTAATACTGTTAGAGTATACTTTGAAGTACAGACTTGGTGAAAGTTTAAAGAATTAAAAACATAAACTGCACCTGTTTTAACTTGTTAGATCTAAGAACAACTGAAACGAGATGGTTATATTTTAGCACAGTAACTGATCACGCTGCTAAAGAATTAATCATAACATTACTCATATTTCCCAATCCTACACATAACAAAAACAGCACAGGTAATGCTTATGAAAAGGTGCCAAGAAATCGGCTCCCCACAAACCCCCGAACTCTACCTCCGTCTGCAGGATGGCAGCCCTCTGCTCCTTGGCAGTCAAGGACTCCTTCAGCACCTCAATGTGCTGTTTACTGTCTGAGAACTGGTTTGTGAGTGTCTCCAGCTTTGTCTGCAGGGCGAGGAGCTCCGTGTCCTTTCTGGACAGCTCCTGCTTCACCTGGCCAATCTAGAAAAGAAGTAACACACTTTAAGGAAAAAAGAAATCAAACAAACACCTCTTATCTGGCTCTTTGACAGGTCTGAGTCACAAAATACGAAACTAAATGCAGCACGAATTGTATGACAGGTCATATTCATCTTTTTGCATCACATAATCTTGGATCTCCCCCAACCCTGCGCCAAAAAAAAACAAAAACAAAAACAAAAACAAACCTAAACTTATTCAATAGGTAAATGTCCAGTTTTCAGTTACTGTGTCTTCTAAATATTCTTTGAAACCTCTTAGAAAGGGAATGGAGGGAAAGGAATTCCAATTCAATTAGATGACTATGAGACAGCAGTAAGCAACTGAACACCACTGTACTGATAAAACGGTTTTCATTTTTCTAGGTGAGCCCTCTTCAGAACACGATGGGTCAAATGCAGGATGAGTGTAGATATAACACAAAAGGTTTTAGAGACCTCCCAGTACTACTATTTAAAATTCAAAATCTGCTGCTACTGTGCTTATGTTTCATTGTCATCTTTTTCATTCTCAAAAGTTTGCATAAAATTCTTACCTTAAAAAGCTATTTTTAAGGTTATACATATGTGGTTTTGTAAAATCCTATAATTTGATGTTATGTGTATTGATTAATTTCTCTCTTAACATTGAAAGTATTTTCTTTCAAATACCTTCGTTACATTCCTACTGTTTCCTAAGAATTTTTAAAATAGTTTTTTTACCCTAAATGTAAGCCATGTAAACAGAAATTACATCTGCTTTTACATTATGTCTACCGCCTAACAAGGAACTAAAAAAGATACTAATTACTGGAAGTATAAATTTGACAAGTCAGTAATTTCGGTGTCACTGATGAAACAAAAAGTTATCTTTTTATTTTTAAAACCTTGAATGTATCTAAAGTATTGTAATTGTAATAATCTTAGGTACAAGGGATAAAGCTTTTGAGAACAATTTCCCATGAAGAAATAAATTTCACATTAATTAAAATTAGACATTTGAGGAGCACCAAAAATAAATTTCCAATTTAGCCTTCTGTTTCAAAAAAGATTAAGTATTTTTCTCATACGCATAAAATCTCTTCTTAGAGATATATTCATTCAACAAATATTTCTGTATGCTTACTGTATACAAAGTACCTGAGGATACTAAAAACATCAGTGGAAGGTAATTTTAAACGGTGGCTATATTCATCCTGCAAAATAGTATGTACCCAGGAGTTACCACACACTGTAACAGCGTGGAGTCTTTTATGATATTCCTTTATCAATAAAAACAACCCATTAGTATTACTCCATTCCCCAACATACTGACTGTAACAAAAATACATCTGTTGTACAAATGAATATTTTGGGGATGTTCAAAGTGTTACCATTTTCTCAGCTAAAGAACTATGACTTAAAGATTATTCAAATTTCCAGCTACCTCCAATCATGTGATCAAAAACAAATATAAAAATCTGTTTCGTCATCATCTGCATTATTAAGTAAGCTTCAAATAATGCTATATTGACCTTAAAGACTGAGACAGAAAACATTTTAAATGAAAAGCAGGGTTTAGGCCGGGTACAGTGGCTCACGCCTGTAATCATAGCACTTGGGGAGGCCGAGGCGGGTGGATCACAAGGTCAGGAGATCAAGACCATCCTGGCCAACATGGTGAAACCCATCTCTACTAAAAATACAAAAATTAGCTGGGCGTGGTGGCGCGTGCCTGTAGTCCCAGCTACTCAGGAGGCTGAGACAGGAGAATCGCTTCAACCAGGGAGTCAGAGGTTGCAGTGAGCCGAGATCTGGCCACTGCACTCCAGCCTGGTGACAGAGCAAGACTCCGTCTCAAAAAAAAAAAAAAAAAAGAAAGAAAGAAAAAGAAAAAAAAGAAAAGCAGAGTTTAGAAGCACAAATTTTCCTTAAAGACTGAGACAGGAAGATATTATAAAGGGGAAGTAAATATAATACAAAGCTTAGGAGCACAAGGCTTTGCAGACAATCACACATCAGAACTAAGTTAGCTATGTGTCCCTGAATAATTACTTTCCTAATCAGTTTCCTAATCAGTAATAAGGAGAAATTATACCAATGCCACTGTACTGTCTATGGATTCAATAAAATAAAGTGTGAAATGTGCTTAGCCTGTTGTCTGACTCAATGCAGAAATTACTAATAGTAGCTTATTTTAAAAAGGAAGTTATCGATCAATCTTCCCTCTTGACAATATATGGTTTCCATAAACCAAATTAGACCCTTTCCACCAAAATATTTCACTTTTTAATATATACTACAAAGTGGACCATAAATAGCAAATCTACCAAAGTAGCACAAGTTTGGTTTTTTAAATGCTGTATTTCAGTCTCAGCCGACAATTATTTTCCGAAGCAGTTTTTGCTGACACTTTGACAAATGTGGGCACAGCCTAGTATAGTATAGGTCAGTATAGTAAAGAACTTGTAAGCAGTATGTGGAAGAAGACTGCTTGTATAAAACCAAATCCTGCCTCTTACTAGCTGTGTTTTCCTAGGCACCATCCTGTTACCTCAGTTTCCTCGTCTATAATTTGGAGTTGATAATATGCCTAACTCAGCATGTTATAAAATGTTTATAGTAAGTGTGCAAGTCTTAGCTATTTTATTATTCAGTCATCCCTCAGTATCCATGGGTCCATGGGGGACAGGTTCCAACAAACACCTTGGATACCAAAATTAATGAATGATGAAGTCCCTGATACAAAATGATGTAGAATTTGCATATAACCTATGCACATCCTCCAGTATACTTTAAATCATCTCTAGATTATTTATAATACCTAACACAATGTAAATGCTATGTAAATAGTTGTCATACTATATTGTTTAGGGAATAACGACATGGGAAAAAAGTCTGCACATGTTCACTACAGACACAACATCCATTTTTTTACCCTGAAAATTAAAAACAGTTGGTTAAATCCACAGATGCAAAATCCACAGATATGGAGGGCCAACTGTATTTACTTTATTATTACGTTCTGAATTGAAATTTTAAGTTCATCAGAATATTGAACTAGATAGGTGTAGACACCTGACATAAGTCTCTTAGTAATTTTAATTTACTAGATAAATACTTTCTATATATCTGTCCTAAAGAAAGGAACATTTGTGGCAAAATCACTCACTGAAGACTTAAAGATAATGTCTACATAAGAAGGTAAAGCACTTTACTCAAGAGTTTCAAATTCAAATAAATTCTAGGTGATGGGCCTAGAACAACGGCATATATTCTTGTACCTAGGAAGAAAAGAAGGCCACCATTTATAGAAATCAACAATAAGGGGTTGAGGAAAAAACAGGCTTTGAAATACCATCCATAGAGTGATAAAAGCAACAATAAAGTACCAGGTATGAGGCTTCCAGAACACGTGAAGGCTCACTGCACACAAAGTGACATGTGGGTCAAGCTGGTGAACAGGAGTCAGTTAAAGAGCAGAGCAGGCTGGTTAGTGCTAGTAATGGGCAAAGCTGCCAACCATAGAGAATGAAAGGGTAAGCCACTCAGAAGCCATAGAGCTGGCAGGGTCCCACTGTGGGATCACTGCACACAAAGAGGTACATCTTACGGCAAAGACCTCAGCCTGAAGACCAGCCGCTCTCTTTTTCAGCTCCTCCCATTGAGCCTCTTTCGAACTTAGTTCCTCCTTCAGTTGTTCTACCTGTCACGACATTATTATTCTTTTTCACTTATGTGTCAACTTAGGTCTTCTTATTATTTACTTTTGAGCCAGAATGGTAACTGGAAATAACAATAACTTATACAATACAATCAAATCTGTTCCCCTCATTCCCTCTTCAAAGAGCCATAGGTAGTTTCTCTAAGTTCACAGGTTTTCTTTTCCCCACAGTGGACTGGAATGTGCTTATCAATAAACAAAAAACATAAACACAGAGATCATACTGCACTATGTTTTGTTCTCAAATTAGGGTGAAAAATCCAAACTCACTGAAAGTTGGATATGTGAGGCCAGGCGCAGCAGCTCACACCTGTAATCCCAGCACTTTGGGAGGACAAGGCAGGAGGATCACTTGAGGTCAGGAGTTCAAGACTCACCTGGCCATCATGGTGAAACCTGTCCCTACTAAAACTACAAAAAGTAGCTGGGCATGGTGGCAGGCGCCTATAATCCCAGCTACTCGGCAGGCTGAAGCTTGAACCTTGGAGATGGAGGTTGCAGTGAACTGAGATGATGCCACTGCACTCCAGCCTGGTCGACAAAGCATACCTCCATCTCAAAAAAAAAAAAAAGAAAGAAAGTTGGGTATGTGAGTTTTTAATTTCTAAACCTGAAATGAAATTAGTAGAAATAATTAATAATAGAGTCTGAAGGTAGTAGAGGAACATTCTGGAGACTTACATGCCAGGTATGGGCACCATGGCAAGAAGCCAGAAACTGAAGGGGAAGTGAGATTATCATTCCTTCACACTACTGGGATGTTTCAGTTTTCATTTCTGAGAACTTGGAGAATACAATTGGGAAATAAAGGGGGAAAACACTTATTTTCTGGCTAAAACTTTATAACTACAATCATAATGTTTAATTAACCCACAACAAAACTGGTAAATTGATCATTGTGATAAATTAAATCCTCCACCTTGCCGAAACAGTTTACAGAATCAAACTAAATGACTTTGGATACAAGGAAGGAACACTGTGACTGATTGCAAACACAGACTGATAGGTCTTGGTGCATCTCTCTTTGTCATATTACGCCTGAAACGCACATGGGAAGCAATAAATCTGACAGTAAGTGGATCTTCCCCACAGGACAGGGCAGAGAAAGGGCTTTCCTTTACAGAACTGTATTTGGAGGGGAAACGGAATGTCATTTAACCCATTTCATTAAAAAGCCTCTTAGGGCTGGGCACGGTGGCTCACGCCTGTAATCCCAGCACTTTGGGAGGCTGAGCCAGGTGGATCATGGGATCACGAGTTCAAGACCAGCCTGGCCAACATGATGAAACCCCGTCTTTACCAAAAATAGAAAAAAAATTGGCCAGGCGTGGTGGTATGCACCTGTAATCCCAGTTACTGAGGAGGCTGAGGCAGGAGAATCACTTGAACATGGAGGCAGAGGCTGCACTGAGCTGAGATCACACCACTGCACTCTAGCCTGGGTGACAAGAGCGAAACTCCATCTCAAGCCTCTTAGGGTTTTGACTTTTTAAATAATTCACAAGAGGTAAAGAACTTGATATTTCACATACTGAAAAAAACTCATCTGGAAGTTTTTCGGAAGTACTAATAGATATGAAAAGTTAAACCGTGAAAATATATATGTAGCCTCATACAGAGAATCGTCTTTATAAGTAAAAACTGGTAATAACTATCTAAGTCAGTAATTCTGACTTTAATTCTGGAGAAGTTTCATTTGAAAGAATTGTGCTAAAAGTATTCTTCCCTTAAACCTGATAAAACAGTGTAAAATACAGTTTTATCATTGTTAGAGAAGTAAAAAATATGCATCAATTTTTCAAACCCCTTTTAAGAATCAAAAGTCTCACAGGCCATTACCTTATTTTTCATAAATTTAGAATGGCTCCGATACACTTCCATTTGCTTCATTTCTTCCTCCCGTTCCTCAGTACTCAAAGCCCCATTCGATTTCAGCATCTGAATCTCCTCTTCCAGGTCTCGGAGCCCACGCTCCATAGAGGAAATTTTTGAATCCTGAAGACAAGAGAAGATTTAGTGATTGAAGTATTCACAAAAGCCCAGAAAACCTGAATAACATGATATTTAAAGATGTTACATTTAATAAAGATAGACAAATATACAGAAAAAATGCTGTCTGGCAATTGGTGCCTTGCTTCCTTTTTTTGAGACAGAGTCTCACTCTGTAGTCCAGGCTCAAATGCAGTGGCACGATCTTAGCTCACCGCAACCTCTGCCTCCGGGTTCAAGCAGCTCTCCTGCCTCAGCCTCCCAAGTAGCTGGGATTGTAAGTGTGCACTACCACGCCCAGCTAATTTTTCTATTTTTAGTAGAGACAGGGTTTCGCCATGTTGGCCAGGCTGGTCTCAAACTCCTGACTTCATGTGATCCACCTGCCTCGGACTCCCAAAGTGGTGGCCTTAAGGGCATGAGCCACCATGCCCGGCCAGTGCCTTCCTTCTAAAATACGTCCTTTACAGCCTTTTGAGTGGGAGGAGAAGTACTCATATCCACAGTATGATTTTTCCTCTATGGCTGCCTCCAGTTCTGAATCCCTTAAAGTTGAAAATAATTACTAAATTACTAAAGTAAATGCAATGAAAAACTGGTTAAAATTTCTTCGCATCAGAAATTACAAATTTCTGGTGAAAAAAATTTCCAATATTAATAGTAAAGCCTTTTCTAGTTCTAATATTTTATCATTTATTTGGTGACCCCTAGAAAACATATTATGCCCCAAAGGAGGGGAAAAAAGTAAGAGAGTTTCAAAGATTTATACAGTAATGTGTACAGCGATATGTGCAATAAAAATTACCTAACATCCCATTGCAGAAAAATGAGGGAATAATTAAGTTGTTATTTATCATATTAGACATCCTTATTGTCTACACTTCTCCATACATTTAAAATAATTCCTAATTTTTAAAAATCACTGTCCTTATAAATCATCATCTCTACCACAAATATCACCTTCTAACAGAACATTACTTCATATTCGATTTCTTGATTTTGTTTGTCGCAGCACCCAGTTTCTCCCCAGACTACCTGACCTGTCCTGAATGACAGAAACACTCCTGCACGGAATGAAGAGGTTTACACATCTGTAGTCGCATAGGCTTACTCACCGAAGAAACAGAGGCCTTAAAGAGCAGAAATTAAGTGCAGCTGTATTTCACTTGGAGTTTTAGAGAAACCATTCCTTTGGAAGTTATTTTGAAATTAACTTCCTTTTCTTCTTCACCTCAATGATTTCTTGATTAAGTCTCCTTAATTCTCACAGCATGAAGATAGGAGAGATTAAGGTTTATCTTGAGAAAACTCCACCTAGCTATTTCAGGTTCAAGGGAGGGGAGAAGAGAGGATGTATTCCTCTGTCTTGCTCATCACATGACCTTTAAAAATATCACCACGAAAATTTTCTTTTATAAATTCACTCAAATTAAAATGTACCTGTTCAAAATCCATTGTACTGAATTAATACAATCAGCGTCATTTTATCCCTGAACCGGGATTTTTATTTACTCATGTGAAATGACTGACCTATAAGAAGTCCTACTTCAATTGCACCACCTGAAAATTTACTTTTAAGATTGCTATAAGATTTCTCTGGAAATATCGGAACACAGCCCCTTAAAAAAGACTAAAATATTAGGCATAAGCATATGACTAGCCTACAGATGAAAGAAAGTGAAAGTTAAATGTAAGTTCTCCTCTGTCATTAGCCTGAGTGGTAATGAAACTGGACCAGCTGAAAGAGTGAAGTGTTTCTCCAGCAGCACTGGGGCTCCACTTAAGACAATTTAGTCCCAGGTGAGAACTCCAACTCTGCACATCACATGGCAGCCTGCACCTGCACAGAGCTTCTAGAAAGTCTCTACAAGGCCCTTAAAAAATATTATCTATCTTCTCCCCTACCCCAAACACAGACAGAGGAAGCTTTTGACAAATTAAAAAAATACATTATCTATCTTCTCCCCTACCCCAAACACAGACAGAGGCAGCTTTTGACAAATTAGCACCCTCACTACCAAATCATGCACCATAAAACCTTCTTCCCAAAAAGGGATCATGACTCCAGCTCGGAAAACCAGGAAGCAGGTACTGACTGACCAGAAAACTTACCAAGGAAATCAGGCCAGAAAATTAAGGCCTGATACGCTCAACTAGTTCTAGCACCAACCCAACTGGTACCAATGCTGGGTTTGAGGAGAGTCATTCCAACCAGGTTTCTTACTCCTAGAATGTGTAATATTTAAATAAATAAATTCCTTCTCACTTTACTACTCTGTACTTCCCCAGCCCCAGTTCTTCCGTCATTGACCAACCAATCCCACTGGACTTACTGAAATCCTCTGCTCTTTGTCAAATCCCCAAATGCTCAACCTTTTTCCCATGAACTGTCTCCAGTGAAGGCCAGTAATACCCCAACACCACAAAGGAGCAGGGGAAAGGGCTGACGTTCTCCCAGCTCCTCAAGGCTGTTTCGCTTTATGGGAAGCTCACACTCCTCTTCACCCTCCCCTCCCCATTGCTGCCATCCAGGGACTTCTCAATCACTCCTGCCCATTTGTGGAAGTCTTTGGCACCTGGCTTACAATACCCCCTTCAATCACCACTCTTGCCATAATCCGAGGATTGCAATGTCAGAATTCCTTGACGCCCTTAATTGCAATGATCTCATCCTCCAGTCCATTTCAGCAATCCAGTTTATAGGATTATACTCTGGATCCTATCAACACCCAGAACTCTCTTCCCCAGGCCTGTTGTACCCTCACTCTGATTATTTCCTGTTCAACCTCAAAGAGAATTCCACTTTCCTGACTTTTACATTTTCTCCCAACCTGTCAGTCCACCTGAATTTTATTCCTTCCACATCCAGGGTACAGTCCAGGCCCAACCTCCAAACTACTCTGTCATGATCACCCTCAATTCATTTGCATCCCAATCACTCTGCCTTATCCATACCAGCAACACTCTAACCCTAGAGCAGTGGTGACGGAAAAACAAACAAACCTAGAGCAGTACAGCAGTTCCTCCCTGTTCCTCCACCGGTGACGGAAAAACAAACAAACCTAGAGCAGTACAGCAGTTCCTCCCTGTTCCTCCACCGGTGACGGAAAAACAAACAAACCTAGAGCAGTGCAGCAGTTCCTCCCTGTTCCTCCACCGGTGACGGAAAAACAAACAAACAAACAAATAGCAGAGAAAGGGGAGGAGGAGAAACAGAAGAAGAGGGGCAAAGAAGGAAAGGCTGGAATGAGGGAAAATGGTGGGAGAAGGGATAAGAAGAGGAAAGAGAGGAAGAAGAGGCGAAAGAGGAGAGGGCGAAGAAAATTGCATCACCTTGAAGATGACAGGGCTCTTTTACTTCAGTCATCTTTCCTCCCTACTTTCCCAAAAGACTATTCTAGATATTCACAGTTCTCTTAAGCGCATTCCACGTTCTCAGCGACACAGCGATTTCTGTTGTGATTTCAGCATCGCATCCTCTTGACCCCACTGGGCCACCAGAATCTTTCTCCTTCTCAGCAAGATGGCTCAAGGTTCACACAACTTAAAATGCATCCAGTGCCTACCAAGTACTACTACTACTTGTCCTCATTCTGTCAAAAGGTGGTTAAACAAATAATTTTGTGAACACAGGTACATTCGTGTGTTTTATTCTTAGGTGTTAACAGGGATCAGGAAATAACATGACAGATAAACTTGTGGTGAATGTGAAAAAGGTAAACCATGCAACTGAACCATTCTAAAGACCCTTTACAAGATTATACTCAAGACTACTAATTAACTACAAAGAACCCAGGAACCCAGAACCCACTAATTTGGAATTTGGTAAATCCTTTCCCCACCGAGAATAATGATGTATACAATATAAAGTTTTAAGAGGAAATCATCCAAATTAAGATAACAGTTCCCATAACTACTTCAGAAGTATCTATTTACACAAAATTATTTATATACCATTAACTGTTCTTGTCATATCAACAAATATTAAATGAAGGCCCACAATGCAAAATACAGGATTGAGCTTTCCGGAGAATATGAAGAACTAGTTGTGAGGGGGAGGTCCCTAACTACACAAGCTTTTATGAGAAAGAAGATTGTTAACAAAACTAACAGCAGCAGCAGCTAGTATAGGTTGAATGTTTACTATGCGCTAGGTCCCGTTCAAAGTGTTTTTACATGTTTTAACTAAACCTCAAAACGACCCACTGGATGAGTACTATTACTATCACTATTTGTTGATAAAGAAACTGAGGCATACGTGATTTGCTCTGTATCTTACAGTTGGTTAAGTGAAGCGAGATTTTGAATCCGGGGAGTTTAACTTAGAAAGCAAGCTCTTAATTACTACACTGAACAGCCTAAAGATTTCTAAATATTCATTAACTTAAGGCAGAGGTTTTCAAAGGATGGTCTGTGGGACCCTCAGGGTACCCTCAACCATTTCACAAAGTATGCACGATCAAAAAACTATTTTCATAATAATACCATGATGTCACTTGACCTTTCCACTGTCTGCGCTAAAGATATGAAGCAACGATGGGTAAAATTGCTAGTGCCTTAGCACAAATCAAGGCAATGCATCAAACCATACTTGTAGTCATTACATTAATATTTGTCACATCAAGTACTTGTAGGAAAAAAGTGAAAAATAAGAAATAAAATTTTTAAAAGACCACTTCACCTAAGACTGTCCTTGAAGAAGCAGTAAAAAGTATTACTTTTAATAAATCTCGGCCGGGCACAGTGGCTCATGCCTGTAATCCCAGCACTTTGGGAGGCCAAGGCAGGCGGATCACGAGGTCAGGAGATCAAGACCATCCTGGCTAACACGGTGAAACCCCATCTCTACTAAAAATACAAAAAATTAGCGCGGGCACCTTATTCCCAGCTACTTAGGAGGCTGAGGCAGGAGAATGGCGTGAACTCGGGAGGTGGAGCTTGCAGAAAGCCAAGATCGCACCACTGCGCTCCAGTCTGGGTGACAGAGTAAGACTCCGTCTCAAAAAAAAAAAAAAAAGAAAATAAAAAAAATAAATCTCAACTCTGGAGTACACATACTTTTGATATATTGTGTGTGAGAAAACGGTATGAAGCTGCGCACTGAAATACGATGGTTGTCCCTAAGCACAGTACTTGTGTGTTGCTTTGAGTTGTAAGCTGAATTCGGTATTTTCTTCACGGAACACCGTTTTTACCTGAAAGAACAACTGACAAGCTATGGTTACCCAGCTCTGGTATTCGGTAGACATTTTCTTTTAAAATGAAGGAAGTGAGTCTGTCAGTTTAAGAGAATAAAGGGGTCCTGAGACCAAGATATTTGCGAATAGCTGATTTAAAGAAATTCTGTTCCACTCTTTTTGGTCCAATTTGAATTATGGTCTACAAGTAAAAGGAAAAAAATTTGAAATTCTTTTAGGATATCATTGACATTGATTCTCACTCTCAATCTCCAAATAAGTAAAATACTATTATATGCCATTTCCTAACACTCACGCATGGAAGTTTTTGATCACTTAAAAGTATAAAGTGATTCGTAAGATTCTTTACTAGATTCTCACTTACCTTCATCTCAATAACAGTTTGCAGAGCTTTTGTTTTGGCAGAATCAGGAGCGTTCTCAAACCTGCGATGCATCTCCTGTGGAAAAAAGGCAAGAAGAGATTCAGTGTCCTCCTGTTCACTCTCATTTTTTTCAGAGAGGAGCAAGAGCCGATGTATGCAAAAGATCACTACAGCCTCATGAGACACGGACCCCTTCAGTGTTACCAACCCTTCCCCGTGAACCAGGGAATCCACAGACTGCATTCAGGCTCACTCACCCGTGCAGGCATAGGAGGATCCCTACCTCTGAACACCCAGTTACTTAAAATCAGTCACACAGACACCAGCTACCACAACAGTTCAAACTACTGTTTCACATCCTCAGGTGGTGTGTCAGTCAGTCTTCCACATGACCCCGAGACATGTAATTGGAATTCCAAACGATCCAAAAAGGGATGAGAAATGCTCCCTTTTAAAAGGAGAAATAATAGACACCATCACAATCAGTCTGCACTGCTGACTGCAGCTATGGAAAGCAATCTGTGTTGACAACGTCCTTTCCACAGCAACCACCCCCAGAATAACCACCACCTGGTTACCTGTGGTGACGATCTCTCTCTAGTGGTGCTACAGTTAGGAAGAAAAAGATGACACTATGGAACAAGTTTCCTAAGTAGGTCAGGTTCAGAAAATGTCAGAAAAACATAGTGTTGTTTTTTTTTTTTAACCCAAATTTTACTGAGTTCAGGACAGAAAAGGAGGGAAGGGCTATATCAGAGTCTTCCAGGTTACCGAACCACCTCAGTGATTTTCTTGTCAGACTCTGTGAATGTCTCTAAATAAATCAGTCAGTACTTCCCAGTACCCTGGGGACAGGCTCTTGGGAATCCAGGGAATCCAGAGATGAACACTTTATGCTACCTCTCTCCCTACTTCCAGCTTTCACTATCTGCCTAGTTATCCCACATTCATGTCCAATAAACATTTCAAACTCTACGTGCTCAAAACTCAACTCCTGGCCAAGTGTGATGGCTCACACCTGTAATCTCAGCACTATGGGAGGCAGGAGGGTCCCTTTGGGCCAGGAGTTCGAGACCAGCCTGGGCAACATGGCAAGACGTCATCTCCACGCCTGATGGTGCCCCCAAACCTGCTCCGTCCTTCCTGTTACTCAGGCCAAAAGCCTATGAGTCTTCGTAATGCCTTCCTCTCGCTCTCAAGCCGCGGTCAGGAAATCCAGTTAGCTCTAGCTTTAAAACATACCCAAAAATCCAAGCACTTCTTGCCGTCTCCACTGCCAACACCTGGAATGAACCACTAAACAAAAACACACCTTTTAATCCATGACAGCCTTCTAACTGAGCGCCCCTTATCTTCTACAGTGTATTCTTAATGGAACACTTAAAGTGACCCTTTCAAACACAAAGTTGTCCTTGTCGGTCCTCTGCCGAAAACCCTGCCATAGCTCCCCATTCAGCTCAAAGTAGAGCCAAAGTCCTCTCAGTAGCCTGCAAGGCCTCGTCTCTTCTCATCCCTCCCTGGGTCACCATATGCTTTAGCCCCCGGGACTCCCTGCTACTCCTCAAATATGCTAAGCATGCTCCTGATCCTTGAGGCCTTTGCACAAGCTGCTAGGGCAAGACTTCACTTCCTTCCAGTCTTGGCTCAAATGGCTTTTTTGTATTAGTATTAGGTTTAGTTGTTCTGTCGTTATGCAAGAAAATGTCCATATATTTTAGAGACGCATGTTAAAGTCTGCAGAGGAAAATGACACCATGCGAGGGATTGGCTTTAAAATCTTTGGTAAAGAAAGGAGGAAAAAGAAAAAAGGATACAGGAAGGAAGTGTGGCCAAATTTTCGAAACTGGTGTATCTGAGTGATTAGTATAGGGAGATTCATTATACGGTTCTTACTGCTTTTGTGTAGGCTTGAAAACAAAATGAATGTTCAATGTTTTCAGTATAATCTACACCTTATTTTAAAATGTAACACAGCCAAAAAAGAATGCACGTGTCCTTCCCCCTTTACTTGCTCTGCTTTTTCCTATACACAGCACTTGCCCTCTAACATATTTTATGACTTACTGATTATATTTACTTACTATTCTCTACGAGAATGTACGCTCCACAAAGGCTAAGATCTTTGTTTCATTCGTTCGCTGGTGGATCCAAAGCACCTACAACAGCAGCTGCCACTCTGGTAAGTGCTTAACAGACATTTAGGGCATGAATACTGAATGAATGAAACGGCTACCAAACGTTCGAGAATTAGCTAGAAAGGAAATATTTCAATCCCTTCCTACTCCTGTGCTGAATTGTGCGCACCTCCTGTTTCTCATACAGCTACACAGCTTACATAGCTCGTCAGCACTTACCACACTGTGAGCAATAATTTTTCTTCTCTAACATACCATACTGGGAACCATCTTCTTTAAGGATAGAAACCATCTTCTGTATTCCTCAGCACTGTCTGATATGTAAGCAGTCATTAAAAATTACTTCTCCTCCCTATCTGTTTCTCTTTTGTTAGATGAAGGAATGAATGATAAATGAATGAATGATCAGCCAGTTTCTATCCTCACCTCTCTGCTGAACCACATACTCTAAAATAGCAAATAAAAAACCTCCTTGTTTCTAAACCTAATAGCTATTGTCAGTTCACCTTCTTTGCAAACTCTAGCTGGTACCGGAAAAAAAAAAAAAAAAATTAACCACAGAGTTAAAGAAGGAACGTCTTTAAAATTTTCAAGTGGCTTCCATTAAAGAATTACCCTAGCTCTAAATTCTTATTCTCCCTCTTTTCCTTTCCTACCTGCAGACATTTTCTAAATTCCTGTCCTCGGAACATCTGGATTCTATAGCCTGAATCCAAAGCCTTCACTAATCCACAGAGCAACTTTATGTGAATTTTTAAAAAAGGAACCCTTCTTGGGTAGACGCGACATCACCACGAAGCACAGGCTGAATTTTAGGGGAAGCTCTTGTTTGTGAACAACCCACACAAATAACCATCCAAAAGAGCCCTTCCCTAATCCTGTGGTTTCAACTATTACCTTTTCACATATACCCCACAAAATCTATTTCATCTATTTATCTTGCACTGTGGCAGGCATCCATCACTCTTCCCTGCCATGTGATAGCTGACCTCCTTAGTCTGTGTGGGAACTCCACATTTTAAGGCAGAGTCTACCTCCCACAACAGAAACTGAAAATGCCACATACTTGCTGCCCAGCCTTTCTTGTAATTAAAGCCCAGCTACGTGACCTAATCACCTCAATCAGACTCATTCATCACGTACTTTAAAACAGACTCTTGTGACATGAAGAAGCCGGGACGTGAATATTTACAGACAATTCCAGCAATGGGTGGCAGAGGCAGCAGCCCCCTCAGGCTTCCGGACACACCAACAGCGGAGGCTCCAGCGGAGGTGAGCAGTGTTAGTGATGACAGCGTAACACACTAACATGCCTGTGCCACGCAGCACTGTCATCACTAAACCAACAGAGGAGTAGGATTGAGTCGAGGCATTCTTCTTGTCTACATAACTTCTGAGCCCGGTCCTAGTCCTCCCAGAGGCTCTGGGACCTATGTATTTATCCCATTGGTGCAATCCAGGAACAATGCTTTGGAGATACAATAATGAGAAATAACATATTTGGTGTGTTTTATCATGGAAGCTTTAATAGGAAAAATAGAGTTTAATCAAATAATCATCGGCATAATTCATCAGGGTCACTGACGACCTCCACGTTGCTGCCACCACGATGTATCCTTAGTCACTGTGCCTGATCTATCAGCGGCGTTTTACACAACCGCTCAGTCCCTCTTCCTTATTCTACTCTCTTCCCTTGGCTTTCAAGATATGGTACTCTAAGCTTTTCCTCCTATCTTACTGGTTTTTTTTCTTCCCAACTCCTCAGGAGTGTCCCAAGCGTCCGTTCTTTGTAGTCTTCTCTTCTCCACCTACACTCATTCCCTTGGTATTCACCGTTCAGTATCATGCACATACTGAAAACTCCCAAGTGTTTACTTCCTACTGAAATCCACACACGTATGTACCTTTGCTGTACTGGCATATCGACTATCTGCCCCACTGTTAACACATCGACAAGTGACCTCCTGGCCTTCCCCTCTCAACTTGCTTCACTCATTGTGCCTTGATTCATGGTGTGCATCCAGCCAGTTGTTCAAGCCAAAACCATAGGAGTCTCTTTTTTTCTTGCGCCTATATCCAACTCATCAGGAAATCCTGCTCTTCCCATTTTCAAAATATATCCTGAAAATTACCACCTCCACTGTCACACTGCCACCATTATCTTTTGCCTGGATTACACCAACAGTCTCCCAAATCTATCTCACCATTCAAAACAGAGTATCTAGAGTGATCTTTTTAAAACAGAAGTCAAAACATGCTTGCAATTATCAAAAGCTTCTCGTTTTACTCACAGTAAAAGTCACAGTCCTTATGCTGACCTAGAAGGGCTCTACATGATCCGGCCCTGTTACCTCTCTGGCCTCATCTCTTATACTCCTCTCTCTCATCCATTTGGCTCCAGCCAGACTCACCTCTTTGCTTTTCCTCAACATGTCAGTCACCCTCTTGACTTAAGGCCTTTGCACTCACTGCTCCCTTTGACAGGCTCTCTCCTTCCCTTAACTGTTGAAGTCTGTTCAAAAGTCAAAGTCTCGGCTGGGCACAGTGGTGCACGCCTGTAATCCCAGCACTTTGGGAGGCTGAGGCGGGTGGATCATGAGGTCAGGAGTTCGAGATCAGCCTGGCCAACACGGTAAAACCTTACCTCTACTAAAAATACAAAAAAATTAGCTGGGCCTGGTGGTGCACACCTGTAATCCCAGCTACTGGGGAGGCTGAGGCAGGAGAATGGCTTGAACCCAGGAGGTGGACGTTGCAATGAGCCAAGATGGTGCCACTGCAGTCCAGCCTCAGTGACAGAGCAAGACTGTCTAAAAAAAAAAAAGTCAAAGTCTCAAGCAGGCTCATTCTTTTTACTCCATTTTTAATTACGATTTGACTCTAATATACACTCCCAATCTCCCTAACCAAGATCTACTTTTTTCTTGGTATTTGTAACTGTTTATTAGCATATTCCTTTTTTATATTTACTGTTTGTCTCTCCTATCCCAGGGATTTTTCTTTTTTATTCTCTGATGTATATGAGCACCCAGAACAATACATAGTGCAATGATAGTACTCAAATATTTGTCAAATGAAGAAAATAATTTTTAAGTAACTGTATAATATGTAAAAAGTGTTATAATGAAAATATCCACAATACTATAAAAGAGTAATCAGGAGATCCTGACGTAGTCGTGGGATCTTGTAAAGTTTCCTAAGGAACACCTGAGAGCTGGAGGATGAACAGGAGTTAGAGTGGGCAAAGTACAACCATAAAAAGGGAGGGAAAGATGATCTCACAGGTATGTTTTCGGCGAACCAAAATGCAGAGAATGACACGCAGGAGTTAAGAATCTGAAATTGCCCTGCACACTGCCCACACACCACTGCCCACACACCACTGCCCACACACCACTGCCCACACACCACTGGAAAGCCTTTGTGAACTCCAAGGTGTTCAAACACCCACCCTGAAGCCCGCCGGTCCACACCGAAGACCGCCAGTCCACCCCGAAGCCCGCCGGTCCACCCTGAAGACCGCCGGTCCACCCCGAAGCCCGCCGGTCCACACCGAAGCCCGCTGGTCCACCCTGAAGCCCGCCAGTCCACCCTGAAGACCGCCGGTCCACCCCGAAGCCCGCCGGTCCACACCGAAGCCGGCTGGTCCACACCTGCTGTCTCTTCCTCCTCCTCTCCCTCTCCCATTCACTTTTTATTTTAATTAATTTTAAAATATTTCAGACATACAAGATCCCTTTACCTCATAAAAGCAGCCTAATCTGGCTTCTTTCTCTACCCCTCCATTGAAACAACTCATCAAGACCACCAACAAATTCTACGTTACCAACTTGAATGAACACATTTCTGTCCTCATCTTCCTGGAACTCTCAGAAGCACTCAAAGCAACCGCCCAACCGCTCCTAGACACTCTTCTCTTGACTATTATGACATCACACTCTCCTGTTTTTAGTTCTTTCTCTCCAATTACACTTTCTCTGTTTCCTTCACAGGTTCATCCTTCTAAATTAGACCTCCAGGTCTAAATTAGACCAGTGACCAGGTGATCAGTTCTAACCTTTTTCTCTTTTCCATCTAAACTCTCTAATCTACTACATGGTTTAAAATACAATAGAAATGCTGATGAATTTCTAGGCCTGCCCTCTGCTCTGATTTCAGGACTCATACATCCAACTGCCCACTTGGCATCTCTAGTTAGATGTCTAATAGGCAACTCACACTTATTTTATCCAAAAAAAATTCTTGATTTCCTCTTCAATCTCACCCATCATCTGGTGACTCTGATGAGAGACGAGTCTTCTCTGTCTCTTTAAATGGCACTGCCATTCCAGTGGCTCAAGCCAAACACCAGAGCTCTCCTTTTACTCCTCCTGATCTTCACGTCCCACAACCAAGTCAACAGCAGGTCCTAATTGTTCTAGTGCGAAAGTATTTCTTCAGTCTAACCATTTCACCCCATTTCCAGTCTAGCTTGCAACAGCCTCTAGTTAGCTTTTTTCCACCTCCTTTGTCTATTTTCAAGAGAGCACCAGGGTGATCTTGATAATACATCCACAAATCATGGCAGTAATCTGTTTTAAATCTTTCAATAAATTTACCATTATACTTCTCACTTTGACCATCATGTGAGACTGGCCCTCCTGTCGTAAACTATTATAAAATTAAACAAGATGCATGAAATAACTGTTTTCAGACCCTGGATAACAAGCAGTACAGGACTATGATCCTTGAGAGAAAATGAACAAGGTGATGGCCCAGATATGTCTAGTATGTGACGTAGGGAGGGGAAGCTCAAACGAAGAACAGTAGTCTTGCAAAGCTCCCAAGACAGTTGAATGAGTAAGGTTCCCATTAATCTGTGAAAAACTGCAGAGCAAAACACCAGAGGTCTGGGCACCATGGCTCATGCCTGTAATCCTAGCACTTTGGGAGGCCAAGGTGGGCAGATCACTTGAGGTCAGGAGTTCAAGACCAGCCTGGCAAACAGGCAAAACCCTGTCTCTACCAAAAATACAAAAGTGAGCTGAGCACAGTGGTGGGCACCTGCAATCCCAGCTACTCGGGAGGCTGAGGAGGGATAATTGCTTGAACCTGCGGGGCAGAGGCTGCAGTGAGCCGAGATCGTGACACTGCACTCCAGCACAGGCAACAGAATGAGACTCTGTTTCAAAAAAAAAAAAAAAATTAAAAACAAAACACAGAGAAGGAAGCTCACCAGAAAAGCTGCAGTGTCCCACCTGACAAAGGTCCCCTTGAGTCTTTGGCCAAACACTAAGGCGTGCATGGACAGGGCAAGCCTCCACAAGGTAAAATCAAGAGCTACTGGGGAAAGAACAACCATCAGAGAGCCATGAGTTGAGCAACTGCCTGAACTCTCATAGGGCTGGGAAAAATTCAAGTTCCAAATAGTGGGAAGAACAGCAGAGGCATTTAGTAGAGACACTAAAAGGTCAAGCCTTAGGAGTAGCGCTAATGTAGCCTAGAGAAAAGGCTATTCTAAACCAGCCCTAACAGAGTTTAAAAGCAAGTCTTGAAAGGATCAAGTTAATCCCCAAGTAAATTAACTCTTGCTAGACAAAACAACCCTTCATTAAGGAAGATACCAAACTCCAGATACTCATTCACCTTGTGTCCATAATGTCCATCATACAACACATTCTATACACACAAAGCAGGCAAAAATGGCCTATAACCAGGAATCCAGTCACTCCCCTGAAACCAGCACGGATGTTACAGAGATGACGGAATCAAGTCACTCCCCTGAAACAAACACGGATGGTACAAAGATGACGGAATCCAGTCACTCCCTGGAAATCAACACGGATGTTACAGAGATGACGGAATCAAGTCACTCCACTGAAACCAACACGGATGTTACAAAGATGACGGAATCAAGTCACTCCCCGGAAATTAACACGGATGTTACAGAGATGACGGAATCAAGTCACTCCCCTGAAACCAACACGGATGGTACAGAGATGACGGAATTGAGTCACTCCCTGGAAATCAACACGGATGTTACAGAGATGACGGAATCGAGTCACTCCCCTGAAATAAACATGGATGTTACAGAGATGACGGAATCAAGTCACTCCCCTGAAACCAACACGGATGTTACAGAGATGACGGAATCGAGTCACTCCACTGAAACCAACACGGATGGTACAGAGATGACGGAATCCAGTCACTCCCCTGAAACCAACACGGATGGTACAGAGATGACGGAATCGAGTCACTCCCTGGAAATCAACACGGATGTTACAGAGATGACGGAATCGAGTCACTCCCCTGAAATAAACATGGATGTTACAGAGATGACAGAATCAAGTCACTCCCCTGAAATCAACACGGATGTTACAGAGATGACGGAATCAAGTCACTCCCCTGAAATCAACACGGATATTACAGAGATGATGGAATCAAGTCACTCCATTGAAACAAACACGGATGTTACAAAGATGACGGAATCAAGTCACTGCACTGAAACCAACACGGATATTACAGAGATGACGGAATCAAGTCACTCCACTGAAATCAACACGGATATTACAGAGATGACGGAATCAAGTCACTCCACTTACAGAGATGACGGAATCAAGTCACTCCACTGAAATCAACACGGATATTACAGAGATGACGGAATCAAGTCACTCCACTGAAATCAACACGGATGTTACAGAGATGACGGAATCAAGTCACTGCACTGAAACCAACACGGATATTACAGAGATGACGGAATCAAGTCACTCCATTGAAACAAACACGGATGTTACAGAGATGACAGAATCAAGTCACTGCACTGAAATAAACACGGATGTTACAGAGATGACGGAATTGTCATTCCAGCCAATAAGCCAAGAAATGCTCGAACTGCATGAGAGAAAAAAGGAGGAATTAAGGGCAACTCTGTAGTAACAGATTTGAAGCATCTTTTTGAAACACAGACAAAACAAAGCCATAATTCTTAGGGATGATACCTGGGAATATTAATTTAACATATAACACAATATAACAATACCATAATATTAAGGAGTAGATGTGATAAATACAGTAAAAAGCAAAGGCATGATAACCACAAAATCCAGAATACCGGTCACTTTTAGAGGAGACGGAGAGTTCGGACCAGACTGTTTCACCCACGGGGCTTCTGGGTGGATGTGGAAGTTCTGTTTCTAGGTGGTGGTTATGAGGGTGCTAACTTTATAATTTACACTTATCGATACGCCTGTTTTACTCTATTTTCTACATGTATTCTATGTTGTATCCAAAAAAAGTTTTTAAAATCTCTTAAAATTATTTGCGTTCTTCCATCCCAACACCTAACACATTAATTAGTTTAGGCCATAATCATCTCTGGCCTGCCTTAAAACGACAAACTCGTCGGCCTCCTCCCAGTTTACAGTTTGTCCACGTGGAATCTGTTCTGCACACTACAAGGTGATCGATTGGGCACACAGTAGATATTTAATAGTATTTGTTCAATCAATGAGTGTCAAACTTTAAACTGTCTGAGTAAAAATAAAATGAACTCTGCTAACTGTAAACAATCTTCATCTATTAACAAAATTTTATAACTTTACAACATTTGTATTTGGTATTTCTATATCTACTTGAAAATATTAAAACTTCATTTTTAAAAAAAAACACACAATTTCCATTTTCAACTTATTTCATCTGATTTCTCCTCGTTAGCATTACCTAATTCCAAATGGGTAATTCCAAACCGATTCACTTTAAGGTGAAACTGTTGTCATTTCATTTTCACACCCCAGCAAGCACACAAGCAAAACAGAACAAGAGGAATCCTGACTGGGTACGTGGCTCCTGCCTGTCATCCAAACACTCTGGGAAGCCAAGGCAGGCAGATCCCTCAAGCTCAGGAGTTCGAGACCAGCCTGGGCAACATGGTGAAACCCCGTTTCTACGAAACATACGTAAATTTAGCTGGGTGTGGTGGTGCTCATGTGCAGTCCCAGCTACTTGCTTGAGCCTGGGAGGTTGAGGCTACAGTGAGCCAAGATCACGCCACTGCACTCTAGGTGACAAAGTCAGACCCTGTCTCAAAAAAAAAAAAAAAAAAAAATCCTTCCCTGCATACAATAAAGACTTGGGGTGTATTTTAAACCATTCATTAGGCATAAAGCTTTTCTACAAAGACATTTTAAAACTCATTGCTCAAAACAAAATCCCATTCGGAAGGCTGCACCTTCCAGGTCACTATGAACACATCTTCCAGTCAGTGAGCTGATAAGCTCCCCCTTCCCACCAAGCACATCACGCCCATGCCTTCTGCACTGCCAATAAAGAGAGAAGACTGGAAATAGAAGTACTATGCAAAGGAGTGTAAGAAGTAGAATACGCTATTTGGTCACTTTATTTCACTCCTTTTGGGCTGAACATTTTCATTCGAAAAAATTAGAGGTAGAATTATCTGAATCTTGTTATACTCTGTCTTTTTTTGTCTTAGTCCATTTAATGTTGCTATAATATACTTTCAACTGTGGTAGACAATAGGAAATATGTTTTCTCTCATTAATTAACTAAAGAATAATGACTAATTTATAGTTAGAAAATAAACAAGTTAGAAACACATTTTGGTTTTTTATTTTTTGGTGCAGTGGCATGATCTCGGCTCACTGCAACCTCCGCCTCCCAGGTTCAAGCAATTCTCCTGCCTCAGCCTCCCGAGTAGCTAGGACCACAGGCATGCACCACCACGCCTGGCTAATTTTTGTATTTTTAGTAAAGACGGCGTTTCAGCATGTTGGCCAGGCTGATCTTGAACTCCTGACCTCAAGTGATCTGCCTGCCTCAACCTCCCAAAGTCCTGGGATTACAGGCATGAGCCATCACACCTGAGAAACAAAATGTACTAAATCTCCTTTTCCCTAGTTGTTTCTTTGTAAAAGTAAGTCAACTTTTACTTGCACACCTGAGAGAAAGAAGTATATGTGACTAAAAAGTAAAACTTATGTCTGAAAATTTTTTTTTCAAGTTTCAAATCTTAGCCCTCAGCACCCCTGGTTCAAGGGTAGAAGCTCCACGTTGTTCGTGAAGTACCTTCACAGATTCAATCCTCCACACAAGTTCTGAATTTATCATACTCACAACACAGTGGAGACAGAAATAAAAAAGAAGGCAGGGTAAATGGAAAGAACTGTCATCACTTTTTCGTATCTTAACTTGCCCAGTGTCACGCACCATTGTACCTGAACCCATTACCATCTCTGGTAAATAGCACTGTGCTGAGAAAATGTCACCTTGTCAAAATGGAAATGAAGGACAAATGATGTAATTTAAAAAGGAGAGGAAGGGCCAGGCACGGTGGCCTAGCATTTGGGAAGCCAAGACCAGCAGATCACTTGCGGTCAGGAGTTCAAGACCAGCCTGGCCACACAGTGAAACCCTATTTCTACTAAAAATACAAAATTAGCCAGGCATGGAGTCACATGTCTGTAATCCCAACTTCTTGGGAGGCTGAGGCAGGAGAATCACTTGAACCCAGGAGGGGCACGTTGTAGTGAGCCGAGATCGCACCACTGCACTCCAGTCTAGGTGGTAAGAGTGAGATTCCATTGCAAAAAAAAAAAAAAAAAAAAAAGGAGAGGAGGAATAACTTAAATAAATAAGGTATGCAATTGTTGTCATTTTCCAAAATTGCTACAAATGAAAAACTAAGAATTTATTTTTCTTTTCTGGACGGGTGTGGTGGCTCATGCCTGTTGTCCCAGCACTTTGGGAGACCAAGCCGGGAGGATCACTTGAGGTCAGGAGTTTGAGACCAGCCTGGCCAACATGGTGAAATCTCAACTCTACTAAAAATGCAAAAATTAGCCGGGCGTGGTGGCAGGCACCTGTAGTTCCAGCTACTCAGGAGGCTGAGGCAGAAGAATTGCTTGAACCCGGGAGGCGGAGGTTGCAGTGAGCCAAGATCGCACCACTGCACTCCAGCCTGGGCGACAGAGCCAGACTCCGTCTCCAAAACAAAAAAAAATTTCTTTTTAAATTCCTATTCGTTTTCTAGTTTTTCTATGTGTGTGTGTGTGTGTGTGTATATATGTATATATATAAAGTATATCTTTATAGAAAAATATATAATACATATTTATATATCTTAAATATAATTTTTATTGTAAATAAAAAATTTTATCTTTGTACATATTTATTATAAATATATGTAAACATATGTTTCTTTTCTCCAGTCTCCTCTGCTTATACCTTCTAACTGCCAGTAATACAGACAAGCAGTCCTCAGATATGCTAGTTAGATTCAGAATTCCCTAGCCTAGAACATATCCAAATATTAGCACTTTTAACCTCAAAGACTTTTGCAAACCTAATATGATAGCAGTTGTACTAACACGGTATGTTGATTAAGACAAAAAACTAGTAGGCTGCAATAATGTTTTAAAACAAAGTTGTATTTAATAATCACAATAGCATCTACCAGCATTAAATAAGTAGGAGCACATACTGAAATATATTTAGTTGGCCTATAGACAATGTTTGGTATGCATATGGATTGAAGACCCAAAAATATCCACAGAGGATACCATAGCAGGTACCCTCTGCTAGCGAACTGTAAACCAAAGTTGGGGCCTCAAATGTTAGTGTATTAACAGAATCACCTGTCAAGCCCCCCCGCACTGACCAAGTATTGCCTGTAATTCAGCATTTGTCCAATAGATGTCCCCACTCTTCTATCAATCAAATGAAAGGAGCTACAGCAAAATACAAAATCTAAGAATAAATAGTCACACAAAAATGTGATTTGAGTATAAACAGAAAATACATGCTTAATTGAAATCTTACTTTTTATCTTTCGGCTTTTTGGAGGGAGAATTATTTACCTCCTAGCTACAAAATCATGTTCATAAAGAAAATGTAAAACTAATTACAAATGCCATTTTAATGCTATCTTATTTCATCAAATCTAAGATGCCACTGATTATAAGACACACCACTGTTTAAGTGCTGAAAAGAAATAGTGGAAATGCCTCCAAATAAATCATGACACAAAACTTTATCATTTAGGGGTTTTCTGTCGGTTGGTTTGTTTCTGAGGCAGAGCGTTGCCCAGGCTGGAGTGCAATGGTGCAATCCTGGCTCACTGCAACCTCCGCCTCCTGGGTTGAAGCTGATTCTTATGTGTCAGCCTCCCACAGAGCTGGGATTACAGGTGTGCACCACCACACTCTGTAAAATTTTTGTATTTTTAGTAGAGACAGGGTTTTGCCATATTGCCCAGGCTGGTCTTGAACTCCTGGCCTCAGGCAATCCACCCGCCTTGGCCTCCCAAAGTGCTGGGATTACAGGCGTGAGCCACTGCACCCGCCCTAGAATTTTTACTTAATACTGATTGCAAGAGTTAGTTTTTTTAAACTTATTTAACCAGAGTTTAATCACATATCACCATAAACTGTTTTCATAACTGTTCCCATACCCAGTAATTTTGTTTCAATGCTGATTTACAGAATATTTACGCAGAAACACTGAACAACAAAGTTAACGTGGAAAATACCAACAATGCTCACACCTCAGCTGAAATGATGACAAAATGAATGGACACGATTATGTTTGTGAATACACAGGCAAATAAATATACTAGGACTGCTGCTTTGCTGATAGAGAGACTGTTAACATGACACCCAGTGTTAACACTTAACTCAATTTCATTGTTAAAACAGGGAAAGCTGTGACCTTTAGAACTGATTAAATGAGTGCCAGACATGGTGGCTCACGCCTATAATCCCAGCACTTTGGGAGGCTGAGGTGGGGGGATCACAAGGTCAAGAGTTCCGAGACCAGCCTGAACAACATGGCGAAACCTCGTCTCTACTAAAAATACAAAAAGTAGCCAGGCATGGTGGTAGGTGCCTGTAATCCCAGCTACTCGGGAGGCTGAGGCAGGAGAATTACTTGAACCCAGGAGGCGGAGGTTGCAGTGAGCCAAGATTGTGCCACTGCACTCCAGCCTGGGTGACAGAGCAAGACTCCGTCTCAGAAAAAAAAAAAAGAATTGATTAAATGCCAGTTTTTTTTAAAAGATGGACAATAATTCAATAACTAATGAAATTTTTGGATATCCTAACATTGCCAGCCCATAATTCTCTGTGCTTCTTGATATGCTAGTGATATTCTGTATATCTCCAGCAATCATTTCAAGTCCCCATTCCCCTAACCTAGATCACAGCAGTTAAATTCCTTACTATACTCCCTTGCTCACTCTTCTCTCCTTCCTCCTTTATTCTCAGCACAACCAGAGTAAATCTTAAAAGCTAAATCAGATTGTGTCACTCCCTTGATTCAACAGTGGAATGGTTTTCTCTCCCATTTTGAGTAAGATTGTTGCATTACCTGCAAGGATCATAAAGGCAGGTACTTTTTCTCAAAGACGGCATGGATTTGTTTGCTGCTATATCCTTACTGCTGTGCACATGGTTGGTGTCCAATAAATATGTGACGAGTGAATCTGACTCTGGCTACCTCTCCAATTTCGCATCTCATTAAGTCTTCCCCTTATACAATATATTCTGGCCCCCCGGCCTCCCTCCTGTTTCCTCAAAATTCCTTCCTGTGAGGTCTTTAAAACTGTTCATGCTTCTTCATGAAATGATTTTACTTGGCAAAGCTGGCTTCTTCTCTTCAGATCTCCACTGAAAGGGCACCTCCTAAAGGACACTTACCCTGTTATAAAATCCCCTTCCCAATTAGCACTCCACTCAGAAAGTCTTACTGAACAGTGCTGATGCACAGTATTCCATCCTTGTAAAAGAAAAAAAGAAACAGAAATAATGAAGGACTGTATAAATAATAAAAATGGGGCTGGGTGCAGTAGCTTATGACTGTAATCCCAGCACTCTGGGAGGCAGAGGCAGGTGGATCATCTGAGGTCAGGAGTTCGAGACCAGCCTACCCAACATGGTGAAACCCTGTCTCTACTAAAAATACAAAAATTAGCTTGTGCACACCTGTTGTCCCAGCTACTCGGGAAGCTGAGGCAGGAGAACAGTTTGAACCCAGGAGCCAAGATCGCACCACTGCACTCCAGCCTAGGACAGAGCAAAACTCTGTCTCTAATAATAATAACAATAACAATAATAATAATGGGCCAGGCATGGGCATATTGCCTGTAATCTCAGCACTTTCAGAAGCCAAAGAGGGAGGACTGCTTGAGGCCAGGAGTTCAAGACCAGCCTAGGCAACATAGGGAGACTCTATCTCTACAAAATATTTTTTTTAATTTAAAAATTAACAATGCATGGTGGCATGCACCTGTAGACCTACCTACTAGGGAGGCTAAGGCAGAGGGCTCACCTAAGTCCAGGATTTCAAGGCTGCAGTTAGCCATGATCATGCCACTGCACTCCAGCCTGAGTGACAGAGTGAGACCCTGTCTCTAAAAATAAAAATAAAAATTTAAAATTAAAAAAAATGACTGGGAGCGTATACATAACAAAAATTAATAATTATTACTAAGTAACAATACCTTGGGTTATAAGTTTTTGTTCATCTATTTCCTAATTTTACTACAATGGATTTCCAGTGTATTAACATTATGTTTTTAAAACACAATGATGTTCTACTTCAAAAATAAAAATGCCCTCACTGTAAATACAGATTTCAGACTTTTTACAAAAGGAAAAATTATAGAACAACCTACAAATTTAGAAGTATTTTTTAAAATTATTATTTTGCTGCTTTGGGAATATGTCATTTTTTAAACCTCCTCCCTCACATTTCATTTAAAAAGGAATTATTCATACTTATACTAACAGAGATTGGGGATTTATTTTCCCCTGTCCAAAAGTGAAAATTATCTGAAATCCAACCATATATAGAAAAGTTATTATGGCTATTAATTTTTTCATTCAATATAAGATGATTTCTTCCTTTATGCCTCCTGAAAATGATACATTATTTAGAAAAGTAAAAAATTATCAGTAGTCACCGAGGTAGGTTAAAAATAAGTAACACTGTGTCTCTACATCACTCTCTCCAGCTATGCCTCCATGGCAGCCAACGATTTTTATCACATATCTTTTACAGCAAGGCAACAGTTTCCATGGAAACCACAGGGCAAATATCCATTACTGCTGCCAAGGACTTTTATGAGCACACATAAGCTGAGATAACCGCTTATTCTCTTTTATTAATATTTTTAAATGGTTAGCTACTCTGATTCTGGTTTTGTTGTGTTTGTTGTCTCTATGAACAGATCTAGAGATGAGTGAAAAATCAAGTAATTTTTGTACCCCTTTAGCAACAAATGAACTCTCAAAATCAGGGGAGCAGGAGAGAAAAGACCCAGAAAGTCACTGAGCCAGCATACATGCCAGACAATGTCATCCCATTTGCCCTTACAACAGGGCAAATCACAACAGAAATCAGTGACGCACTTAAATACAAAAGATGAAATTCTCTTCCACTAGCACAGCAAAGCACGTAGATTTATTGGGGCCAAGATGCTGATTAATCAGGGAAAAAAAAAGATAATCAATAAATCATAAAACTAAAAAAGTAGCCACATACCTCTCTCAACATACTGTTCTCTTTCTCCTTCTGCTCCAAAAGGCTTTCTAGGTGATGAACGTGCATCTCTGCCTCTGCCAGTCGTCTTGTTCTCTCATGGTCTTCCTCAGTAGCCTTGGCAGAAAGTCCTTTGCTCTGCAACATTTCCAGAAGCTTCTTAATGGATTCATCCCGAGCGTTTAGGGTCTGCTTTTGAGTCTCTATACGCAGCTCCATTTCCTCCAATGTCTTTCGAAGAAGAAATAGCTCTTTGGCCTGCCGCTCATGCTCAGCATGAAGCCTCTGAAAGTTCTCCTCTGTCAGCTCTGCTACACAAGGTTCGCCAGTCCTACTGCTACTATCTTGCTGAAACAGCTGATTCAGGTCCCTCTGGATCCGTAATTCATCCTGGAGAGCCTGGATCGTCATCTGCATGTGCTAGAACCAAGACAAAAAGAAAACCCCAAATCAGCTTTCCTCCTCAAGTAGCAAATCAGAGCAGCCTGCAGGAATCAAAAATAGCTACAAGAAATCTGCATCTAGCAAATTAGGATTCACCTTATTCTGTTTCACAGGTCCTTAAAAAATAATTGAGATAATACGGAAAATGTCAGTAATTTAACTTCAGTTTATTCCCGACAGGAAGCGAAATAAGTATGGCACTCCTTACTTTGCATAAACTATAATAAGGACACTGTTCAAAATTAATAGAAGGTATTACACAGAAACTAAAGTTGAGGGAATATGGGAAATGGGAAATCTACAGGAATATGAATACATTCATTCAAAAAATTTCATCAAAACGGCCGGGCGTGGTGGCTCATGCCTGTAATTCCAGCACACTGGGAGGCCGAGGCGGGCGAATCAGCTGAGGTCAGGAGTTTCAAGACCAGCCCGACCAACATGATGAAACCCTGTCTCTACTAAAATACAAAAGTTAGCCGGGCGTGGTGGCATACGCCTGTAATCCCAGCTACTCTAGAGGCCGAGACAGGAGAATTCCTTGAACCTGAGAGGTGGCGGTTACAGTGAGCCAAGATCGCACCATTGCACTCCAGCCCAGGAAACAAGAGTGAAACTGTCTTTAAAAAAAAATTTTTTTTTCATTAAAAAATACAAAGGATGGCCAGGCGCGAGGGCTCACACCTGTAATCCCAGCACTTTGGGAGGCCAAGGCAGGTGGATCACCAGGCCTGACCAAGACCAGCCTGGCCAACATGATAAAACCCCATCTCTACTAAAAATACAAAAATTGGCCAGGTACGGTAGCTCACGCCTATAATCCTAGCAGTTTGGGAGGCTGAGTCGGGCACATCACAAGGTCAGAAGTTCAAGACCAGCCTGGCCAACATGGTGAAACCCTGTCTCTACTAAAAATATAAAAATTAGCCAGGTGTGGTGGCACAAATCTGTAATCCCAGCTACTCGGGAGGCTGAGGCAGGAGAATTGCTTGAACTGGGAGGTGGAGTTTGCAGTGAGCCAAGATCACACCACTGCACTCCAGTCTGGGTCACAGAGCAAGCTCCGTGTCAAACAAACAAACAAACAAACAAAACCAAAGGACAGCGAATCATAAAATGACTTTTAAGTATTATAAACATTAAATAATAAATATTAACATTCAACAAGTAATCTGTATATGCCAGATTGTGCCACACATTTTTTATGTTATTTCATCTTCATTATGACAAACGGACTTTTTTTAAATTTTATTGTAGTAAAAATCCTTAACATGACATCTACTCTCCTAACAACTTTGAAGTGTACAATACATTATTGCTGACTACAGGTACAACGTTGTACATCAAATCTCGAGAGCTTATTCATCTTAACCAAAAGTTTATATTCCTGTTGATTAGTAACTCTCCATTTCCCCCACCCCAGCAACTACCATTACACTCTTTGATTCTGTGAATTTGACTATTTTAGATACCCAACACATGTACTATTATTTAATTTTACAGACGAGGGCACGAGGTTAGAGAGGTTTAAGCACTTGTCCAAGATCACAGAGTAAGTGATAGAGCTGGCATTCAAAGCAATCCTTGCAGCCCACTAAATCTAGAATCAAGAAAAAAAGAAAACTCCAAATCAGCTTTCCTCCTCTAGTAGCAAAAACAGAGCAGATTGCAGAAATCAAAACTAGTAATACCTAAAGATAATAATATAGCAAAGTTTTTTTTAATTAGAATATGCAAAGCTTTTTATACAGGGGATGATAACAACATGGGTGACTAATTAAATAAAGGTATTAATGCAGATAAACTACTAAAAATGTTTGAGAGGGCATATCTTTAGCTTGTATCCCTAAAGAAGGTATATGAACCTTTAATCTGAATGGATACGTAAAGTCCAGTACATTATACAATGAATTCCAAAAGGCTATTACATCAAAAATCTTATTTTTAGGAATAAAGAAGCAACAATAAAAGATCATTCCCTGATTCAAGGTCTAGCAGTGTACCACACTGGGAAGAACACTAAACTGTGATGAGAAAACAAGAGTTTTAGTTCTGGCTCTCACACTGACTAGTTACGACATTCAGACATGTCACCAACTTTCTGGGTTTCAGATTCCTCATACTTTAAATGAGGGTATAAATACCTGCATTATCCATTCAAAAAAATCTCTTTTTTTTTGGAAACAAGGTGCCTGCAGTATTAGTTTGTTTTCATGCTGCTGATAAAGACATACCCAAAACTGGAAACAAAAAGAGGTTTAATTAGACTTACAGTTCCACATGGCTGAGGAAGCCTCAGAACTATGGCGGGAGGCAAAAGGCACTTCTTACATGGCGGTAGCAAGAGAAAATAAGGAACAAGCAAAAGCGTAACCCCCTGATAAACCCATCAGATCTCAAGAGACTCATTCACTATCATGAGAATAGCACGGCCCCCATGATTCAGTTACCTCCTCCTATGTCCCTCCCACAACATGTGGAAATTCTGAGAGATACAATTCCAGGTGAGATTTGAATGGAGACACAGCCAAACCATATCACCTGCCAGTGTTTTTCAGCCTTAAAAAGGAAAGAAATTCTTACACATGCTACAACATGGATGAACCTTAAAGACATTGTGCTAAGTGAAATAAGCCAATCACAAAAAGACAAACACTGTATGTATCCATTTACATGAGGTATCTAGAGCAGTCAAATTGATAAAAAGGAAATAGAAGTGTGGTTGCCAGGATGCAGGAGGGGGACAGAATGAGGAGTTATTGTTTAATGGGTATAGAGTTTCAGTTCATCAGGACGAAAAGAGTTCTGAAGACAGATGGGACATACTGAATGCCACCAAACCGTACACTTCAAAATGGTTAAGACGGTAAATTGTACGTTATATGTATTTTACCATAATAAAAAATTGGTTGGAGAGAAGATATTTGTCATAAAATTTCACTCATGGATATTTTAGGTTAGTTCTCATTTTTCACTATTGTAAGAGGCACCTTCACATATGCATCTTTACACATAAATCCACATTTTTCTTGGGAATTCTCAAAGATGGAATTGCTGGATCGCAAAGTGTGCACGATTGTAATTCTGACACATATTACAGATCATTTCCATGTGTATCTTCGTGTATCTACTTAAGTGTGCACAATTGTAATTCTGACACAGATTACAAATCATTTCTACGTGTATCTTCGTGTGTCTACTTTTGGGACTCCTCTCTTCTCGTTCTTTGCCGATTTTGTTATTGAACATTTTTTCCTAATCCATTTTAAGAGCTCTTCGTATTAGGAAAATAATCTTTCACCTGCTGTGTATGTTACAAATATTTTTCCAAGTGTGCCATTTTTCTTTTAACATTGTTTATGATGACTTTTAATAGATATCTTCTTTTTTAATACAAAGACAATGACATTTTCCTTTATCATTTCCAGTTTGGGTATTATGCTTTTAGCAAGTAGTGAACTTTCAATTATGGTAGTCATTAAACACTTGAAAAGCACTGCTATTTCTTTCGTAGAATAAACTCACCAAAAAAAAAAAAATCAGGAGTTTAAATTCATGAATATAAATTTAAAAATGCATTTCACTACCAGCATCATCTTTTAATCATTAACAGTTGCTGGAGTTCAAAAGACCCTCAATAAAAAGATGTATCAAAATGCTAACTCTCTGAAAGCCTAGTTTCTTTCCCTTGGAAGTCAACAAAATACCCTGACACTCCTGAGTGAATATATCCCAAAGGGTTATACCAGAAGTTAAATTCAACAGGGAAGCTGATTTCTAGGTATGACTGTTCCTCCTTTTTTGAACATTCATCATCCATTCATTCAGGTTAGGAGAAATATACATTGGCTATAGCTAATAGTTTCACATACGCTTTGGCACATATGGCTAAATGTAGCATGGCAATTACTATTTTGGTAAAGAAAGAAAACGTTAACTACTAGTGTGTCTGGTTCTTCAGCTCTGCTCGCACCCATTTTACTAGAGGATAAAAATACAACAATGCTGAGTGGTAGCCTACAAGTCTATACAGCAGTTTTCTCCACTAAAATATAAACCAGCATTTCCTCTTTTGGCTACAATCAGGCTAGCTTTATTTTATAAAAATTCCTGCCAACTCCTTTGGAAGAAGAAGGAAAAAAGCAGACTACAAGCAAGGCTACTCTTTCTCCAGCGTATTCACACAGAAGATAAAATGGGCATATTCACACATCACAGCCATCTATAATGATCAACCAAAAACAGATACATTGAGTTTAAGGTAAGATCTAGCTGTAAGATAATACTAGAATGTCTGTTTGGGAAGTCTGGTCCCGACACACTGCAAAATGATCTCACACTCCAAATTTTACAGCAACACCCACTAGTCCACTTCTCACTCTTACACTCAGCTTGATTTTGAAAGGCTGGGAAAGTATTTGCCTAAAATTTACTCCAGGGACTGTACTATTATCACACCAAGCTATATCTCAATGAAATGGTAGGATATTGTGAACAACAATAATGAAAATTCTTAACTCTCTTGACAAGGCCTATGGCTTTTATTACAACAATAATATATCTGCAAAAAACAATGACAGATCACAACTACTATTCATATATTTTAGATAAGTATCAGAAGCTCTTCTGAGGCAGAACTTCCAACAAATAAACTCACTAGTTTCTTAGAACAAGAGTACACTTTGATCCCGTTTATTCTCATTCCTAAAATAACAGAACTATGTAGTCTAGAGACATTTTTAGAGAAAAAAAATGTGGATACGTGAAATGGTCATGATTACAAGCAAAACATATCGCAGAGAACTCAGTACACTGTTTATCAAGAAGATCAGAGTCAGAGAAAACACCAGCACTGTACCTTTTTATAAATGTTAAATTAAGAACATTTTTTTTTCTGAAACATATAAATCCATGTATTAAATAAACTTTATTAATGTAACATGCAAAAGAGTTTTAAATAATTCTTAAGTCAACCA